GGCCAGGTTACGTGATGCAGTGCTCTTTGATATCTCCACGCGGCAATTGGGGCACGTGGCAATCTGATCACGCAGGCTGCACAATGGGTAAACGGTTACAAATTAGATGCATTTTTGGAGCAAGTGAAATAATGACTGTGTGTGTGTTCAGGGGAGATAGATATTCATACCGTCCATCCGCCAGAAGGTGAGTGAAGCAAGCGGCGCACATCAGGTGGCCCATCTGGCACTGCAATTGAAAAGATCAGAGGAAAGAAAGATTGTTGTGTTAGCATGATCTCTTGTCAAGGCAATTGATGGGTAACATATGATTATGGTTATGGATATATAAATGGTATATGTACGAGTACGAGTAGATTGAAAAACTAAAGCAAAAGTGGAATGAAAATTAACCTGCAATTAAAGAAAAAAGAAGAAAAGTTTGCTATTAGTCAAAATACGGCCTTTATGTGGTGGGTTTGGGTATGAAGTGAGTGTGTGGCATGGAACAATGGAACGACTATTTTTTTGTTGGTGGTGGATCGGATGGATTAATGTAATCTGTTTTTGGTGGGAGTGTGAACAGGAAAGGAGGAAGGAATAGAAAGAGAATATTTATAGATGACAGAGGACCCGTTGGTCTTGTGTTTCATTCCGAATCCGTTTCCGTTTCCGATTGAAATAAAAACGCTGTGTTTGTATTTGGTTTTATATTGCATTTTCCAGTTTGCACTTTCCTCTGCAAATTTATTGAAATTCTTTTTTTTTTATCTTTTTAAAGTTTTCCCATCTTTTGCTTTTTTTAGTTTTCTTTTTTTGTTCTTTTTTTTATACATTTTAGAGATTTTACTATAATACTACGATGGAGTCTGGTCTAAGTACTTAGCATTTACATTTACAATCTTTTACTATTTTTTTGGTGTTACTTTTCTTTTTGTTTTCGTTTGCTTACAAATGTTAGGATATCGACTTAACTAGGATTAATCATTAGCGGCGATAGTTAGAGGGTGTTAAAGTCTAGTCGAAATTATAAAAATAGATTCCTGATTAAAGTTCACAATTCTTTATCGTTTTATTTGGTGTATTTTGGGTCCAAGACAGACCACATAAATGGAGCTGTAATCGCTGTAGTTGTATCTGTAGTTGATGTGTATTTTTCTTTTGGAATTGAAAATGGTTTTCGAGCAGAAATTGATGGATATTGTTGTTGGGTCAGTATTTTTGGGTGGGTGAGTTTTCAGATAAGGAACGTCAAAGTCAAACAGAGTCGCAGTTGTCGTCGCAGGACGACCACCAAACCACGTTGCCAGCCCTCATATCTTTATTTCTGTACGGTTCGTATGTTATTTCGGTATGTGGGTATGCGGGCCCTCCTTCATTTTGGAATTTCTATTTCAGGAATTAGCCGCCGTCGGAGGAGGCGACATATGCGACCATTCCAGAGACAGAGAGAAAGAAAGAGGCTTTCAAGCGATAAGCGACAATTCGGTGATTGTTCGTTCTGTTTCTTCATGTATCTTTAATTAAAGACACACACATACACACACACACACACATCCATATGTACATAAAAATAAATGCATAGATGTAGATGCAAAGGGAATGGCATCCATCCATCCCAACCCCATTCAGTGTCGCCAGCAAGTTGAACGAACTCCGAAAAGTCCGCAGAGAGCGGTAATTTATGACCTAGAGCAACTGCAGCTACCAGCAGCCTTCAATGCGATCCGATTCGATTGTTTTTTGATAGGACAATCTCCACAAAAGAAGAATCTCAACCCGTTTTACCCCGTCGACGTGTTTACTCTCTCTCTCTCTCTCTCTCTCGTTCTCTCTCAGGCATCGTTCTCCAGCACTGGCTCTCTCTCAGACACAACAAAACCCAGCTGATGATGTTTTTGTAGATAAGTAGCCACGAAACGCTGGTGGAAGGGGGCCTAGTGGATGAAGAAAGCGGGGTAGGGTAGGTAGGTAGCAGCACGAAAACACGCTGCAGAGATATCACACACTAGCAAGAGCATTCTCTTTTACAGGTATCTGTTGGACCTATCTTTCTCTCTCTCTCTTTGCCACCCCAAGAGAACACACATGCACATGTGGCAGGCAAACTGGTAAAACGGGTTTATTTTAGATTACACGTCTTTGGAACTATCAGCAAGAGAAAGAACAACAACCTGCAACAGCATTCTCATTTCAAATAAAAACCATAACCCAAAAGTGCTGCCTTACAGGCTTTTCAAATTTGCGTTGTTTTGTCAAAATCCGAATCCGGAATCCATTTCTTTTCCCCAGGGGCCGAACAGCTGATTTGGCCCACGCTGTGTGGAAGAGCGGGACAACGAATGTGTCAAAACAACGCAAAGCAAAACAATAACAGAGAGCGTGCACAAACGCACACACTCTTGTGTAGTACTACGCAGCCACACATACATACAGATGTCAATCAAGAGCGATATAGAAATGCAAACGAGGAAAAGAACGATGGTCCAACTTTCTATAACTTCAGAGGGCAGGCAGCTAATAATTAATTTGCCGACTTATGCGGGTTGTTCTCCCTCTCCAATCGAAACGGAGACCTTTGGACGGGATATGATTCATTTTCATTTGCCTTTCAGCTTGGTCACGTTTCATCAGTACAGTGGGCTGCGGTGCTGAAATCGCAGACATGCTTCCTCTAGGAAAATCATTTTGTTTTAAAGTCTTGCCTCAGAGCATTACAGGCAATTCAATCATTTATGCATTGCCCATAAATCCAATTTCAGGCCCACGGTGAAGTAAAAGACGTTTCAATGACGCAGTTATCGTATTTCACTGCACACGTAAATATGTATGTATGTATGTTTGTATGTATGTGGGTACATGCATGAATGTGGTGTCTGGTTTTGACAAATACGAAAGAGAGCAAAGTCAACCACGCATTACGTAAAAAGATCTAAATTCTCAATATTTGAACAAATAATTTAATCAATCAGAAGTGAATAAGCATTCGCATGAATGAAAAAGAATGGCCTTAAAAGCAGAATGAGTAAAAAGGAAGCCGAAAGAGACACGCACACAGAAACTTGTTCAAATTAAAAGCAAATTGCAAGCACAGATGGCGGGCGGGGCGGGGCAGCTGCTTATAAAAATAGGCCAAATCGGAGCAAGACCACATCATAGATTCTATGGAAAAGCCAGCCAGGGAAAGGCAATTCCTATTCCGATTTTGGGTTTTGTGACGCAATACAGAAAAGTTTTGCAGTTAATGTTACTGCGCAAATGTCAGCGGGGTGGGGTCGTGGCAGGGGGCAGGGGGGGGGGGGGGGCCAGCCCACAGTGGCCCAGAGTGTCGAATGCAACGCGGAATTGGAAATGAGTGCCAGCCGGGGGTAGGTTCGCCTCTATCGCTCGTCTCTAAAACGCAATAAAGTGCATTAGACACAGAGTGCGAGCGAGAGAGATATGTGTATGTATGCTACATAAGCGAACAGTGGAGCTCTCGCTCTCTATCTTTAATTTTGATATGCGCAGCAATAAGAAATAACCAAAAACGTGTGTGTGGGGGAAACAGTTGCAGCGGATGGGATGCCTGGCATTGTATTTAGTTGTTTTCAAGGCGAGTGCAAGGCAGCGGCGACGTAACAGTCGTAGCAGCAAGCGAGAACGAGAGCAAATAAATACACGCAGCAGATAGTGTGCTGTCGGTCTCGCTCTAGCACAGCTGGGAGACTAGTGCATTCGGGGGGCGACGGAGGGAGTGGGTGGTTTCCTCTTACAGCTGGCGATTTGTTTGTATACAGAATGGTACACATACACACAGCAACTCTCTCAAACACGCACACAGATAGAAAAAAGCTGGCCTTTGTTGTAGTTTTTTCTGTAGCTAAAATATTGGGAGAAAATAGAAAAGAATTCAGGCCTCCACGCTGCACTCACCTGGTACATGGCCGTTTTGGGCAAATCCAGGCAAACGGCACAGCAGAGGGCTGTGGAGATGCGGTATGCCAGCTTCTCATGCGTTCCCGATGCTGCAGCAGCGCTGGACAGAGCTCCCCCGGAGCTGGAGGAGGCTGCATTTGCATCGAGACAGGGTTTCTTGGACGGCGGCTCGCCGCTGATCTGGGTGTCGAGTGGCACTCCCACTACGTTGTTGCCACCGCCCCCACCATTGCCACTGCTGCTACTATTTGAGTTGCTATTTGAAGTGGAGCTGGCCGAGGTGGAGGCCTGCATCACCTGGTTGTCACCCAGCATTGGCAGAGTGGATGTGGGGGGCTGCTGGGCCGCGGAACTTGAAGATTCCACATTCGACATGGTTCTTCTTTTTTCTATACTTTTATTCCAATAATTTGTTTTTACGTTCTAAGTCACTCACACACACACACACAGACTGACGTTTCCAAATTGACGTTCTCTCGTTCGCCTCCCTCTCTTTCTAACGCACACACAAACACAATCCCACACACAGCGCAGTGTCACACTGCACTTCACTATTTGTATTGCTGCACACAACTTTCTTGGCTTTTCTTTTTCGATATCTTGCGCTCTCTCTGGCACTGGACTCGGTTAAGTGTAGTAATTTGTTATGTTTTTTGTTTCCAGTGTTGTCAGTGTGACCGCGGCTCTATCGATAAAATATACCGCACGACTCTCAAAAATATTGCGGAGTATACCTTCCCATTTCCAAAATATGCAGTAAATATACCGTAAATATGCCGAGTCCGAATTAGTTTTCTTCAATTTTGATATTCTATTCAAAATTACCAGTTAGATTGGACTCTCAGCTCTTAAACTGTAATTTAACTCAGTTCTCCACAGGATCGGCTCGTTTTCATGACATTTTTTTTTCCTTTCTGGAATGCTTTCAAATTAAGGTTAAAACTATAAAGGCCAACACACAAAAATACAAAAAATACTAAACTATATTGGTATTTAACGCCTTTATTTCACCTGCTCAGGGAAAGATGAAGGCCTTTCTTTGGCATTAAGCCTCATGGCTAAAATTCTATAATACATAAGACCAAAAATACCAGAAATGTAAATATTGTTTCATTAATGGCGCCATGAAAGCATTTTAAAATGTTTATTTTTAAATTTAGTTCGGTCTGTCATGTGCATGTAGGTATGGCGCAGGCAGGCCAACATTGCAACTGCTTCCCACTAGCCTGTCCCTGAGTACGTCTATATAGTTATCAGAAATCTGGAGGAAAACACTCGGTCTCCTCGCATACTGGCGTACCTGCTCCAAGTTGATAGACTCCGTATTGTTAATGTTTGCATGGATGTGGATTTGGCTGCTGTTGATGTAAATGAAATGGTTGGATTGGGACGAGACCGCGGACTGAGGCGCCGTCGATACGTTCGCCACATTGTTCGTACCACGTGTCGAGCCCGAGCAGAGGTCCTTCTTTTGGTTCCACAGTTCGCTGTGGGAGTCGTCATTGCCATGACCGATATTAGTGCATGAACTGCCTCTGGGCTGGATCTCCAAACAGACATTGGCAGTGGCCTGCAGCTCCAAGCAGCCGCTGCCACTCTCCTTTGGCTCTGAGGCACTCCCACTGGTCTTTGGCTCTGAGCCACTCCCACTGGACTTTGGCTCTGAGTCACTGCCACTGGTCTGTTGCTCCAATCCACCACTGAACCGTTGCTCTATCAGCAGTTCATGCATCAGCATGAATCTTTCCCCCAACTTGCTAACTTTCTCCCTCAGCTGCCGAGGGTAGTCCTCCTCCTCAACGTGCTCCTCCTGCCGAAAGAGTCGTACGCGCGCCGCCACGAACTTCAACGCCATGACCATGGCGTATGTGAGGCAGAAGAGGATGCCGAAACTGGCCATAATTTCAAAGGTGAGAACAAATCGGGGAACACCTGCACTGTGGTTTTCGCATGACCGTTGTTTATACGTGACGCCATGGTGTTCTGAAATGCAGAATATATGTACATATGGACAGCTATACAGTCGGGGTTACTCCTTCTCTTACCTGTGTACAGCTCCACGTCAAAGTCTTGAGAGCTATTGTGTTGCTCGAGTACTTGAAAATAACCAACTACCCACCAGGTGGTGAGGCCCAAGGCAGCCAGAAACAGAGCATCTACGCTACTTAACATATTTTTCCGAAAATTGTGAGTATATTGTGAGTAGAAACTCGAGTTGAGCTTGTATCGAAGTGAAAAATCAAATTTAACGAGAACATTAATTTCAAAGTATTTTCATGGAGTGCCTTTGCTGGATATTTTTACTTAAGCATGGACTGGCCACACTGACTGCTAAGTGAAAGGAAACGTGCTGCTTTTTTAAAGTGTTTGAGATAAATATTTGTTTTATTCAGAATGGAGATGATGGTATGTATGTCTGTTTATATTGCGAGTCTTACTTAATGTGTTTTCCCTTGCTTAGCACGGAGCTTCAATGCTGTCCAGGCCAGCGGATGAGTTCGGCAACGACTCAATGGTGGAGGAAATGTGGGCCGCTAAAGCTCTGGAACATGCCGAGGTTCACTTCAATGTAAGTTTTACTCTTCAAATACAATCAACAGTCATTAATAAACCGCCCTCCTGGCTCCAGCTTCTTACCAGCGTTAATCCCTCTCAGCTGCGCCTCACGCCCTATGACGATCAGATCTATGAAACCTTTCGCCAGGACTTTCCCGATCTCAAAGTAGGCCTGCTCACGGATGATGTACTAAAGTCCGCTGGGGAGAAGCTGAAGTGGCGCGAATTCGCCGAGAAATTCAACAAAATGGATGACTATTCCTATGGAACGCTAATGAGAGCCGATGCCAGTAAAGAGTTCAGCCCGGACAACTCAATTTTCGTGTTTCGCGTACAGTTCCTAGCCATAGAGATAGCCCGAAACCGGGAGGGACTCAACGACGAGGTCCATGCGAAACATAGGCCTGCCAAGAAGAACCCACAAGAGGACAACAAGTGAACCTCCGCCTGCCCTCGTTTGGTCTCTAGGTTATTGGCATTTGGATATTTTCCCAATTTCGAAGCAATTAATGCATTTTTAGACGTTGTTGGGATTTGGATTGATTTTAATTCCAAAAACAACAATAAACCCACAAATTTCTCAAATTATATGTTGGTTTTTGTTAAGGCTAAGGTGTGTGTATATACGTTTTATATATATATTAAATATATATATTATTATATGGGGTTTTGTGTCTAATTTCTAAGTATTGCCCGCACTTGGTCCATCTTCAGTCTTTCTTGTGGCTACATTCCACTTCCACACTCGGGTGCTACCTCCCGCCCTACAGTCCGCTGCTGTTGCTGGTCATCAGTATGAATGGAATCAGTGCCTCCATCTGCATCTGTCCCACTAGATTGGCGAAGAACAGCTCCTCCATGGCCTCGGGATCGAGGCTGCTCAGCGGCAGCAGGCGTGCAACCAGTCCATTGAAGCGCTCCTCCCCACCGACACCGCCCTGGCGACGCAAACTGGTCAACGCATACAGCTGAGTGCGTCTCACATAGCCGCGTAGTTGTCGCTCCTTGCGCTGCTGCAGCAGCGTGGGATTGAAGAGCAGGATCAGTCGCATCAATCCAAACTCCATGTCTGTCACCTCCTGGCTCTGCAGCTCCTGGACAAAGTCGTGCAGGGTGCGAGTGAGGTGGGCCATCTTGGATATCTTCAGTGGCTCGGACTTGTCAATGTCCGCCAGCTGGCGAATGCTCTGGATGAACTGAGCAATGATGGTGGAGGCAGACAGCTGACCCTGGCACTGGGCCAATGCCACGGCCATCAGAGCTGGCCAGGCACTGCGCAGCATCTTCACCTGGCTGTGCGAGTCGAGCTGCTCGAAGACGGGCACCTTGCGCAGCGTATGAATGGTGAGGAAAATAATGCGAGATCCCGTCTCGCACACATAATGGATATTCAGATACGAGTGCACCAGGGTCGGTGGCTGCACATGGAAAGCGCACTGAGCATCGGTGAACAACTCCTGATCGAAGACCGCTTCATTTACGATAAAATCACTGCGATTGCAGTAGTCAAAGTCCAGGTCCATGTGCTCCAGCTCCGGATCGACGGCATCTTCGGTGCCACTGTCCTCGGCCTCCGAATCGCACTCGGGCTTCACACTGAGGCTCGCTGCCGTACCCTGGCCACCAATCCGCTCCAACTGATGCTGGATAGGCTGCAGCAGCTGCAGACCCTTGTTTATCACCCGCATATCCAGGGAGCTCTTGATCAGGCCCAATGTCGCGGCAGTGGGCAGCGTTGTTGTTGGCTCTCCTGCATTAAAGTTCAGGTGCTGGGAGTTATTGTTGCTGGCACTGTTGGCCAACAGTTGCAGGCACAGGGTGCTGCTATTGTCCATCGAGTCGTCGTCATCATCTTCCACCTCTGCCTTGGGCAGGTCCGGCGAATAGCTTCCACTCTGTTGTTGCTGCTGCTGCTGCTGTTGTTGTTGTTGCTGCTGTTGTTGTTGGGTGGCAAACACTGGCAAAGCGAGAAAAGAACACCAATTAGTTGCACTTTGTTCAACAATTGGAAGCATGTTTATTTCTGGTTGGAGAGACTCACTCAATGTCTGCGTCAGTTCGGCGAAATTCAGGCCAAACAGATTATCATTCAGGCCGAAAGGCGTGGCAGCATTGCTCTGTACGGGCGGTGTGGCCGCGGGATCGGCCTTGACAATGTGCTGCTTGCCGCGTGCCTGCTGGTAGCCAGACTTGCTGGATATATAGCTGGAGGATGTTCCTCCGCTGCCCGATGTTGAGGAGCCACCGCCAACCGAGGCATTCAGGCCCTCTTTTCTGTCCACAATCGGCTTCCTCTCATGCTGAACGGCTGTGGAAAAGAGAGTGTGGCGAAAGGCAAGAAAAAAAGAAATTAATTAGAGCAGGAAGTCGACTAACGGTGCAAGTAATGATGCAGTTTTTCAGGCAGGGTGACTGTATGTGTGTGTGCATGAGTGTGCATTGGTATTAGTATGTGTGCTAGTTGGAACATCGTTTATACCCTTGCAGAGGGAGAGAATAATTTGGACTTGGCTTTGCTGATGGCACCTGCAAGGGTATGTAGACTTTGGCCAGCCAAAGATGCATTGGGTTATTTCTTGAGACGACGACTTAAACGAAAATTACAATCACTTCGCATGCCGCTGGCCAAGCACTTTTGCAGCCGACAGAACTGGCAACGATTCCGATGGTGCTTGGTCACCTCACAGTTCATTGCCCCGCGACACTGATAGCCCAGCTGCTTGCGTATGGATCGCTTGAAGAAGCCCTTGCAGCCCTCGCAGCTAATGGCCCCGTAGTGGCGGCCCGAGGCACGATCCCCGCACACCAGGCATAGCTCCACGCTGAGGGAGGCCGCCGCGGCGGCCGCCGCAGCTGCAGCCGCTGCTCCACTGCCACTGCCAATCAAAGGCATCGCTCTCGGTTCTGTAAATGCGAGGGCAACGTTATTATTATTATACTTCTCAAGGTGCGTGTACGAGGCGTTGAGTCCCACCTTCAGCTTTGATGAACGCCTCAACCTTAACGCCGTCCATTTGCAAGCTGGTGCTGCTGCTGCTGCTGCTTGATTGTATTGGTGCGATGTTAGCTATTTTTATTAGAACCCGTTTCTTTCACGACTGTGTCTGTGCGTATGAGTGGATTCTGCTTACTTGGCTCTCGGAAAATTCTTATTGAACAGGTGCTATCACCATGTTTGCACCGAACAACAGGCACTTTTGTTGGATAAGTCGATTTAGCTAATAGCCGTTTGATTGTAAAGGCATTTTAGCCTATTGAGTTGTGTTTAACTTGGGCAAAAAAAATCTTCTCGTTCTTCACACATTTACAGACAAAAGCTTCGATCAGTGTGACCATTCAGTGTGTGTGAGTGCACTAGCTTAACCCGCTAGTAACCCCTCTGATTAAACAGGTGACCAACTTGAGTGAAACTGCGGAAAGTAATGCTGCTTGTACAATTTTATTGTATATGAACCATGCTTACACTTTATTCACAACAAAAATTACCACTGCATCTTTCACGTGAACTTCATTAAAAATCTTCAAGTTTCGTAATTTTCGTGGGACCCATCTGGTCAACAATGGGCTAACGCTCTTCTTTGTTGATCGCGAACAATATTCCTGGGTTTTGATATTCGGCTTAATATAACCAGCTGGCCAGGGCGCTTACCACTTACAATATTCGGTTATCCGATAATTGAATTATATCTCTACAAGATTGGCTAATTTTAGGAACTATAGGATTCTTTATAAAACACAAAAAATGAAATCTTAGCAACCTCGGCTCTGTTATTAAACTTTTGTCTGATAAGCTGCGTCTTACAGCACCTCCTCTAACATCTGTTGGCTGGTGATGCGAGCTTAACAGCTCACTGTTAGAGATAACACTATGGCACCGCCTCCGACACCTGTTGGCGGGTGAATGAACGCAGTTCGAAATATGATTTTCATTTATAAAAATACACTTTAATATACAGAGAAATCATTACAAAAGACTACGATTTGTTCTTTATATATATAACATAAGAATCCCTAGTTGTGAAAAACATATTCATTTTTGTCTTAGAAACGATTAAGCCACAAATTACTTATATGTATAAAGTTTCAGGCTGCATGGAGTGGGTGGAGTGGAAGGCGGATGGATGATGAATGGGGATGAGGGAAACCCAAAATGGTGAACAACAAAGCAGGACTAAGCTCGCAGGCACGCACGCACATGCCTATAACTATCATGGACTATGCCCGGAAAACTACAGTCTATTTATTCTTTAAGCCCATTGCACGTTTGGTGGCCCGTCCCAGGAAGATGCCCGTCAGAAAGATCAGGCCCGTGGCGCTCATCAATATCACAAGGAAGAATTTACGCGCCGGCGATGCGACCACCTGCTGCACAAGCTGTTGCATGTCCTCCGGCGGCAGTGCCAGCGTGTCGTCCGCATTGTGGAACATTTCGATGCGCCGCTGCAGCTTCTCGCGGCAGTCTGTGTCCAAGGAGTTGGGCGTATCCTTCAGCAGCGTGCGCAGGCAATTCAGCTCTATGGAATGGATATTATTAGAGATTTATGGGTTGTGGTGCAGACGCCCTTTATTCTACTCACTGCGTCCGTTGCCGCTGGAGACCTTGGAGCAATATCTCAGCAAGTCCACTGTGCACGCCGTCTCCAGTATGGGATCCACATGAATATCGGCCTTGGCCTCGGCTATCAGCGTGGCCACCTCCATCTGGCACTGCCTGTTGATGATCTGCTTCTGCAGGAAGGCCGTCTTCAGGCACTCGGCCACCTGGCCATGCTCATCCGCATCCATATTGTCTTTGCACAGCTCCTGGATCTCCGACTTGCAAAACACCTGCAGCAACGGATTCAGCTTGTAGTTGAGCGCCTGCTCCTGCAGTATCTTGATCATCTCCTGGGCACAGGACTCATCCAGCGCCGATTGACGGAACTTGTCCTTCAGGCAATGAATGACCTATGAAAAATAAACAAAGCAATTAGCCTGATTTATGTACATCTATGTACATGCAGTTCGCATAAATGAATTCATCAATTAGCGAATAATCGTGGAGTGCTTTCAATTGAAAGGGTTTGATTAGGCAAGACACAGATTAAGAGCCCATTGTTGCAGCCACTAGAGCTAATCACGTAACTTAGATTTCAGCTAAACTAGTGGAAAAGCGAAAGGAACGAGAGATACGACTGCGGATACCCATTTCTTGGGGTTAAATTGAACGCAAGAGAAGAAGAATGATAAGCAACGGCAGTGACTCAATGTTTATGTGTCTTCGAATAGCATTTTATCGACATCTATCATTGTTGAACATCATAAAACATGTTCAACTGGAGAAGGTACATCATGTGCGTGGAAAATAATTACTTAATAAATTAATTGTCGTATATCTACGGCACAATCTTTACAATCCAAACGTTTATGTGGCCCAACAAACTCTCCATATAATAAACTATAAGAAAAGTAAATTTCGTGGGCTCGTTAATGCCCGAGCGGGTATCGCTTCGTTTCGTTACGAGTCTCGTTTGTGGGCTCCGCGTTAGCTGCCCACATCACAGTCCATTCTGATGCGTAGCAGAGGCGTATACGTGATGTTAACATTC